ACATACTCAATTATCGAACTCATAGTCAACTCTTACACCTCCAGAATTCCCCTTTTAGTTAGTGGTATTATATTTGGTTATACATTCAAACCAGAAACTCAGGAACCATCAATGCCTCTTCTACAGTTCTTTGTACTCCTTACATAATAAACTCAGGTTTTAAGACTTCCTTTTTTTTTTGTACTGGGGATTGAACTCAGGAACCTGTGCACTGAACTATGTCCCTGGCCCACGACTTTTTTTAATCTCCAAAATATATGTCCTTTATTCCCTCTTCCCTCCATTTATGTTGTCATCACCCTCATGCAGTCACCAGTAAATGTTAACTTCGCCATTATAAATTGTTCCTTATGAGGCCATTCCATGTAATCTGTTTTAAGGTCTTTTTTGAATGACTCTATATACCAGGCACTGATACATTGTGCTGGAGCAGTAGTGAACAAAGCAGAGTTTCTGTAGTTCTGGAGTTTACTATCATTAGTGAACTGAAGTAGTGTTAATGGCAGCAATGCAATAAATACATTAAACTAATAATAAATGTGGCAAGGGCAGTTTAACATCAGACAGTGATATGAGAGAAGCTACTCTGAAGGTATAATCTTTGAGCTTTAGTTGGAATGAAGACAGGGAGGCAATCTCGTGACTCTGGGGTCATAACTCATAGCATCTCAGCAAGAGGATTAGACAACACAAAGTCCTCATGGGAAACACTGAATTGGAGCAGTATGAGGTTGGTGTGGTACAGCAGAGTGAGTTTAAATTGTAAAGAAACAAAGAAGTTGAAATGAGCATGGAGACAGAGCCAAGGGGAGTATAGAGTATGACAAAAATACAGGAATCCAGTAGAAGCCTCTAAGAAGCAGAAGTCTCTAAAAGGGAACAGAATGAGTTGAACTTTTAAAAAACTATTTTGTTTTTAAAAATTTTCTCCACAATTATGTGTTTATTTGTTGTTGTTTGTTTGTTATTTGAGAACAATCTCAGTGTATAGCTTTGGTTGGGCTAAAACTCAAGCTCCTTCTGCCTCAGCCTCCCAGAGCTTGGGACATAATGATCTTTTTAACATGTAAGTTCAACAAGACCAGGAATCATGTCTGGGTTGTTCACTGATGTATTCCCAGTTCCTGGCAGAGAACCTGCATCTATTAGGTGTTTTTTACCTGAGCAATTTTATTTAATCTTCACAAAACCACTAAAAGCTAATGTGTATTCCCTCCTTACAAAAGAGGAAACTGCTTCAGAAGTGTTCCTTAGCCCTCCCAGGACAATGCTAGAACAAACATTTGTATACGCACAATAAGATACAATAGTCTTTCCAGAGACACTAGTTTAAGGGTGCTTTAAGCAAAATTTAAAGTTTATAGAAGATATAACTTCAGGTTAACACTGACTGAGTCTTTTTGTCTCCATTTCCTCATCTGGTCTGTGGGTTTGTGTAAAGATTAAGCTTAATTATCAACTTGGCTTATTTGGGAACTGTCCAGGATATTAGTAAAGCATACTTCTGAGTGTATCTGGGTGGGTCATGCAGGCATGACCCCAGATCTGCTTCCTGGCCCTTTCTTCTCTGGTGTTATCTCCTCCTCTCTGCTTCCCACCTGCCATGAACTCAGCAGCTTTGCTCCACCATGTCCTCCTGCCATGATGTTTCTGTCTCAGAGCCAACCAATCATGAATGATCTGTGTGAAGCTGTAAGCAAACCTCTTGTCCTTTTAAGTTTTTTTTTTTTT